GGTTTAAAATCATGTAAAGGTTAATATTCCTGATTATCCCATTTGTTAGCCAAGAAATTTTTTAAAACCTTGATCATCACTTGAAATCCTCATCTTTTACAATTTTCAGTGTAAATAGCAAAATAAAACTGAAATAAAGGCCATACAAAAATGGGTAAAGTTGATGCAGTATCAATAAATTCTCAAAAACTTTTTAAATATGTGGTATAGTAGAAAGAATATTAGACTTGGAGTCAAATGACCCAGGTTCAAAAGATGTCTGCCTTTGTTACTTCCTAGGAACTCAGTTTCTTCAAGATTAAGAGAAAAGAGGTAAACTAGATGGTCCCTGAAAGCCCTTATAATAACATCTCATGTTTGTCTAGCACTTTTAGTATTATTTCTCAGATTATTAAATCTTGTTGGAGTCTATGGAGTTAGTATATATCAGAAATATATCAGAAAGGCTATGTAGGTGGACAAAAAGGCAGACCAGAAATAAAGAGGTAAGACAGAATGACATATCAGAAACTATGCATTGCTTTCCTAAGCTGATCCTTGTTCTGAAAGCTTATACTTTAAAAACAAAAATCAATAAATATTTATCAAGTGCATATTATGTGTCAGCCTAAATAAACATATATATGTATATTTGTGTGTATGTATATGTGTGTATATACATATATATATATATATATGTATATACACACACATGTATGTGACCTCACTGATGCATATATTCTCTACTGCAATGATGTCCAATTCACATAGAAACAGGGGTTATTAAACTGTATATAGGATCCCTGCAAGAAATTATTGACTTAGAAAATCTATGTTTTATTGTATTTTAAAATGTCTTTTGTTAAATATGTCCCAACTACATTTAAAATGTTTTGAGTAGCACTCAGGAGTGCTGCAGGCTTCTTGTAGCCAGTGGGTTGCATTTTTTACATTTCTGCTCTACAATATTACAGATCACAGTTTATACTATTACTTCTTGAATATCTCATCAAGATGTCCTTGATGAGTATATAATTATTCTCATAAAAATGTTATTAAACAGGAAAATAGGCATATTTATTGATAAGTGATAAAGTTCTCTCAGTCATCTTCTTTTGGTTATTAATAATGCTCAAGATTTTTTAAATACCTTTGTTGTTTCTTCCATCCTTCCCACACATTTTGCATCAGTCCCTCAATGCCCTCACAACTGTGTCACCTCTGGGAAAGATCTCTTCTCACCCTTGGTCTAATCTATTTTTTTTTTCCTTTCTTTCTTCTCTTCAGTGACATTTCCACCTTTTCTATAAAGTACATAGAAGACTATGATGTTAGAATCTAAGTTCAGGGCTTGTACCTTTCTTGATGATAAAAAAAGTTATAATTTTTAAAAACTTGCAAGTCTTTTCCATTTTCTGCTTATTGTTTTCTTTCTATTTAATCCTTACATGCATTCAGGAAGATTATACTAAATTGGATCTCTCATCAAATATTTTTTAAACTCGTTTTTGCTCTACTTTGTTTGTGATATAATCTTCTTTCTTCCTTCTCTGTAAAATATTACAAATGAGTTTATCCTGTAAACCAGTACTTTCCTTGGCCACCATATGTCTTTGTTTTCAAGTAAGAAATGTTTGTTAGATGCTTTTTAGTCTCTTATGCTGTTCTTGCTATTACAATTTACACAATTTTATTATATTATATGAAATTATTAAAATTATGTCCTGTATATATTTGAATTTTAGTTTCTAACAAATAGTTGACATATATAAGATTAGAACTGATTTAATCACACTTATCTTTTTCTTATTTATGTCCTTTCTTTTGGCTTTACACAAATTTTGATCTTTGTTCTAAGAGGTTGATGGTCAGTCCATATACTCATAGCTGATTTTGGAATGATTCCCACATCAGTAATAATTTGTTTGTTGTCTATTAATTGAGAATTTATTTCATTTTGTGATGTCATTCTATTTGTTATGTCTAGAGTCTTCTAATTCTTTTTTAAAGAAAATATTTATGATATATAGGGAAAAGGCTTCTTATAGTCTATAAATTTTTGGCATCTCTCATTCCTAATTCTTTCTTCTTGTTCTCAGCATATTTTATGCCATTCTCACCTAAGCCTACCTGAAATTGAAGTTATCAAATATTTAAGAGTACATTTATTTAAGTTGAAAGATTTTATTAAATTCTTCTAGAATTTATCTACTTTTTTATCCTCTGCTATAGATTTGGGTGTATAGACTACAATTATTTTCATAATGATCTTTTTGCAGCTATTTATCATGAGCACTGTAATATAGGATAACAAAATAGCCCATACAATCATGTTTCTTGTTGCTCTTGGATACATAATAAAAATCATTGTCAACAACTCACTCATTTGCCTTTCAAAAGAGAACTTGTGAGCCATCCTTCCATTTATTTGCCCTTTCCTTCTGTCTTCTCATTTTGTTTATAGTAAAAATATTTAGATTAGTATGATTCATTCCCTTAATCAACCTATTTGCTGTCAACCTATTGGTCATTGGATCAATCTCTAAGAAGCTTGTATCACATGCACACCACTATGAGACATTGAAGTAGGACGTTTTTGTGGAATAATAATCAAACAGCCTTATAATGTATCTTCCATGAAGACCAAAACAAGGTAGATGGGATTGCTCTTTTCCCTTCTACACATATCTTTCAATCTGTCCTTTTGTTGTTCCTATTCTCTTTCAGGTTTTTAATAGAAGTTTTCCTGTTTGGAAACTTCAGGGGTGAATATTTTGAGAGGGAGTAGCATATAATGTGATGAGTCCAGGGTCCTACATTTCTAGGAATAATCCTGGACTTGGAGTTGGAAACCCTAACTTCAGAAATGTACTGCATAGGCAGCTAGGTGGTACAGTGGATAGAGCACTCACCCTGGAGTCAGGAGAAGTGAGTTCAAATCCAGCCTCAGACACATAATAATCACTATCTGTGTGACTCTGGACAAGTCACTTAACCCCAATTGTCTTACCAAAAAAAAAAAAGGTATTCTTAGGAGCAGCTAGGTGGCCCACTGGATAGAGCACAGGCTCTGGAGTCAGGAGGACCTGAGTTCAATTCCAACCTCAGACACTCACTAGCTATGTGACTCTGGGCAAGTCACTTAACCCCAATTGCCTCAAAAAAATGTACTGCCTATGTGAGAGGTCACTTACTGACTCAAGGAAGGATCTGAAAGCTCCCTGGTTCCGGCAAATGCCTCACTGCTTGTTTCTAGTATATATCAGGAAGACTTTTTGTTTCCTATCCAGCCTCCCTCTCTGTGTTCTTTTCTCTCTCAAAGGGTCAGATTATCTTTTCTTCAGATCTATGTCCTTAACTGGTGCTTTAAACCTTGCCTTACCTGGGACTCCTGATCCATAGTCTACTCTAACCTTAGACTTCAATACGCATCCCAAGTTACCTTATCTCTTATAGCTTCCTTTAAATTTGTAATCTAATGCCAACTAACATCTACTTTCAGGATCAAAAGTCATACAAATCTCTGATTCACATTAGGAGAGGGATTGCATACAATAATGTTGATACAGATTTTACATTACATTTCTGAGATTTGGGATACGAACCCCTAGGATAGTCTGCTGTGTACCTGATTCTGCCCCTCAACACACTAACAATTCTACATAATATGTATAGAAGCAATTCAGCTGAAATTTTAGTGCAATTTATATAAATACAAATTGTCTTAATGTACTGATTTCTGTCTTAAGTTCAAAGAATAAAACAAAAAAAAAACCTTGGGAGAACCTTTATCCATGCACTCACAGGAATTACAAGTAATTCAGCAACTGACACCAAGAAAAATGGACATAAAGGTATTATGCACAAGTTGTTCAATGCAGTTCCTGAATTTATATTTCATCATGTACAAGAATAGAAGTTTTTCTAACTCTTAGTTTACAAATGAGTTATAAGACAATCTCTCTTTTTTTTTAAGAACCATGATTTGTGATTTCATCAGTACATGGAAACTCCAGTGAACAAGGGAAGAAATTCTCTCCACCAATGCAACACATGACAATGCAGATACATGATATCTGTAACATATAGTCTTAAGGAGCTGCCTGCCTTAAGGCATTGAGAATTTAAATGGCATGCCCATAGTCACAAAGCTAGCGGATGTCAGAGGCAAGACGTGAACCCAGCTCTTCTTGAATATAAGGCAAGCTCTGTCCATCCACCACACTGCCTCTAAAAAATATCCAACTCACTCTGAAATAATATTTACCTCAATCACAATTTCTCTTCATCTGTCCACCTAAATATTTATTTTATCTGTGATTTCCAATGCATCTCTTAGGAAAATACCTTGCTGGGTCCTTTATAAATATAAGCAAAATTAAATTCAAATAATTTTAAGATAAACAAATATTCTGTTATCATTCCCAGTCCCTTCTTACAGTTTGTCTTCTAAGACAGTGGAGTTAAATCAAGAAAAAAGGGCTTAGCTCCCTGAAGAAATATTTTGTACATTAAATATACATGTATTAAATTAACTATGCTTTAACTGGTTTTTTTTGTTTAATTGTTTAATATGACCCAGAATATGCTTTCTCATTTGATTATTTTTCTTACACAAGGTGGCAGGTTCTCTAAAAGCTTAAATGGATATAAACTATATATGAATACCTATAGGAAACCAAGTCTTTTTAATTATAATGGTAATGAGATACTAAAACCAATCAACATGGTATGCATCTCAAAGTGATAGGAAAAACATGTGGCACAAATAAAAATATTCAAATTGCCTAAAGGAACACTTTACTCCATTCACTAATTGTATGCCAATTCTCTATTTCAGTGATTATAAAGGGAAATTTGCTTTGTTGAGATATTCATTAAATGTAACTTCATTCATGGAAGTAAGATATATCCTTGTGTTCAGTGAGATGTCAGGGCACACAGCCTAGCACTCTTTTCATAGGGAAGGAGGAGTTGTTTTATACTTTATATCCTATTCCAAGTAAGTAATTCTCAAGTACCTTTTCAAGGCCTTCCTCCTTCAGGCTGATCACGTCTAAATCAAAATCTGTTCTTAAGCCATTGGTTTTGTTGAAAGTTATTCTGCCTGTGAGGCCTTCCCAGTGGGCCTACGAGGAAAGAAAAAATAATGTCCATAATTAAGTAAAAGGTAAAGGGAGAACAAATGAATGTCTCCCAGGATGGAAAGAGTAATAGTTCACAACAAAAGTATTTTGTATTCTCTTCTGAGATGATCTAGACTGCTCTTTTATAATATATGTGCATGATTGAAATAGGCTAGATTCTGTGCTTTTATTCATTTAGGGAACACTCAGTGAGGTAACACCCTCTATCAGAGTCAGTTGCCTTTGTAACTCAGAGCTGCTTAGAGCACCAAGTGGTTAAGTTATTTGCTCAGGGTTGCATATCTCCAGTATGTGTGATGAGGACTAGAAATTAAATTTTCTTGATTCTAAGGCCAGTTCCCTCAGATTGAAATGAACAAAATATTACTTCTAGATTCATACTAAAGTGAAATTACTCTGTATGTTTACTATGAAGATAGTTACATCTAGGAAAATTTATATCCAAATTTCGGTGACAATCACATCTTCTTTGGAATAATCACTTTTTTATATTATTTGGTTTCACATTCAAAATTGTGAAACAATAATATTTAAAACTATTTAAAATTGAAGGGCATTTGCAAGTGGAAAGAGGACTGAGCTGGGGATGCAGGTGATTGGAGAATGAATATTCTATCTTCTCAACCTGATAAGGTCATGACTAGCAGCAAAAAGCTTGATTTCCCCAGAAAATAGTATTTGTAATTGTGGAAATTAGTAAAATAAACTATGCTTGGTTTGAGTCTCAACTCTTCCACTAATTTTGGAAGCAATGATGGGCAAGTTACTTTACCTCTCTGAGACTCTATTTCCTCATATATCAAATGGGAGAAGGGATGGATGAGATGATCTCTAAGGTCCCCTTCTTGTTCTAAACTTATGATATAATTATAGCCTTTTCAGATTCGTAGCTTATGTGTAAATTGTTCATGTTGTTAAAATAATTGGATATTATGTCCAGAAAACTACTGGGAAGTAATATATAGACATTTCCATTATCGGAACTCATTAATGTAAATTATCACATCAGACATCAATTTAAGACCAAAAGAAATCATATTAACATGAATAAATAATTTATGGATTTTAGTAACAAATCTTGAAAAAACAAGTTATATGCATTTATAACTGCATAAATTTCAATAGAAAAAAATAAGAAAAAGAAAAGCAACACCACAAAAAGGTACACAATAAAGCTTTCATGTTTTAGTTCTTTGGCTCTATTTACCATGTCATAGAATCCAAGGAAGCTTGTCTAAGCAAATACTTCACATATTTACAATACCCTTTACCCCACCTTTTTGGTATCCATTATTAAATAATTGTTCTTTTAATAACAGCATTGGAACCATTTTCAAATGAAAATACCAATGGTTTTGGGGGGGAAAAAAGAGAAAATTATATAGGAAAAGTCCCCATGTGCCAGAAAACAAAAACATCACAAGTATATTATCTGGGTTCATGCAGCTTGAGGACAAAAGAGACAAAGCTACACTTTTTTTTTAATGACATACCTCTTTAATTAGACTCATAAAGCGGGTCCCAAAGCGCCATGGCTTGTGCCGATTACATTGTAATGAACTGACAGTCATTTGTGGGAACTGTTGGACAGCAACTGACACCACATGGACGGCATCATACATTAGAGCTGCATCAGTCTGAAATTAGAATGAAATCAATGCAGTGAAAATGATGTGTAAAATATATGAATCAGGGTCTCAGAGAAGTTATCTGAGAGATCATTTTTCTTCAAAGAAGAAAACAGTGTCACCGTCTAAATCATTCTATTGAATAAGACGTTATTGCCAGGTGACTACACACACACACACACACACACACACACACACACACACACACACATACACACACATATGTCTATTGGGATTGCTTTTCTTTCTTAAATGAGATCTTCAACTGTAAATGATCTCAGGGCCACTAATGAACTTTGTAAAACATGCTTTATATATAAAAACAATGGCATATAAACAGATGAGAGAAATGCATATGTACATATGTACATACACATATACATGGACTAGACATGTTATTTCACTGATGTCAGAAACTCCCTGATGAAAAAATTCCCTATACCCAAGCAGTCCAGCCCCTTTTCTTCACTTAACAATATTAGAGAGTTGGCTAGATCATTGAGAGGTTAAGTGACTTGCCCAGTGTCACACAATCAGGATATGTCAGAAGCAGGAATAGAACCCAAGTTTTCCTGGTTTTGAGTAGCTCTCTACTATACCAAGTTCCCATAGATAAACAGATAGATAGATAGATATAGATTAAATTATACAGATACTAGAAAGATAGGCAGATAGACTGATCCACATACAAAAAGAAATCTGTTAATATATTAAACTATATAATTCATACACATGTATGCTTGTAGTATAGGTAAGCAATTGCATTATATAATCAAAATTAGATTTTAAAAGTGCCTGCCTAATTATCTTACCAATGTACAAGCCCTATGCTTCTTTCATCTTAGATATTTAGAAAGACCCAGTCCCAAAGATAACTGTGTTTTCAGGTCATGGTACAGTTTACTAATTCCCTTTCAGGAAACTATCAATTCTCCTGATATTAATTTTCCCCTTAAATTTCCAAATGAACAAAAGATGATTTAAGTTGCTTAACTAAAATGAATATTAATCCTCTCAAGTCTGTATTTCCTCAAATGAATAACCTCTGTAAGTGCTGTATATGACAAAAAGTTTTGTCTAGTCAAAACAAACCTGAAGCTTATTGTGTTCTCAAGTGCTGTGTTAAGATTGTACTTACACTGTTTCTGACAGATACGTGCAAGCACTAGCATCTGAGAAGAGGACCTTCTTGACACCACTGGTGGGAATGAACTTTGTTCCATCTGCTTAGCTTGCTTTTTCCCCTTCTCATCTATATAATTAGTCAGCCGTGAAATGAGTTCCAAATAGATAAAACCCTGTAGATTACTGCATTTGCCACAATGCAATGTAATGGCAAATTAGCACAGATCAGATGTTTCACACATATGCATCCCACTGTGCTTTACACCATAAAATGCAGGTGTGCAAAATAAAGTTTACTTTTCATTACATGTTTCAGCATTTCAGAAATCTACTAATGTGGCTCAGATTTTTATTCAAAATAGTAGATTCAATCTGAATAGTAGAGGTAGTTAGGAAATCAGAAGTTATCTAGTCCAACTCCGTAATGATACAAGTAGAGCAAATGAGGTACAAAGAAGTGAAATTATTTGTCCAAAGTCTCCCAACTTGAAAGCAGCAGAAAGGATGTAGCTGCCCCACATTTTCTGTTTCCAAGTGCAATGCTCTTGTCATCCCCACATTCCTTAAGGATCATACATATATGTTGATACATGTATAGCTGATTTCATATAATATTCTACTTGAAGAGCTCCAAGTAGACATAGAAATCTGAAAAAAAATTACATTAACTTTAAGAAATGTGCTTATCATATGCCCTTGTTTTCTATACACTTGGTACTAAGTAATGAGTTTGACTGCTTTAAAAAAAATTTTTAACCCACTTGGCTGAATAGTGCTATTCTTCTGCATATTGTAGATCTAGACAGAGATAATTTGTCAGTTAGTGGCATTCCCACAAGATTACAGGGATATATCTATTTGTCCTGGGCTAGCATTCTGGTGGCAACACTCCAAAAGTATCTAAATTTATCAAAAAGCTACATGATAATGATTATGGACATGAAAAACTGAATTAAATAGCAAAAATAGAAGGCAAATTATTAGGTGTATCTCTTCTTTTCCCACAATCACCAGATCATAATAGAGAGAGTGGGCTTACATCCTAGAACTAATGAAATTTGCATTAAAAATACAATGCTTGACAATAAATAATGTCTAAAAACAACTTGGAAAATTTTTTTTCATCTTATAGTCTCAGCTTCCAGAAAGAACAATGGGAATACGAGTGTTTGCTATAAGCTAACCATAATGTATAAATATTAACTCATAATCATTAATGGAAAGTACTTAATAAAATTTCAAATTCTAAGACAGTTATCTAGCATTTATTAAGTGCTTACTATATTCCAGGCATTGTGCTAAGCACTGGGAATACAAAGAAAGTCAAAAAAAGTTTTCAAGGAGTTCAGCGTGAGAGAAACAGTATGCAAATAACTATGTACAAACAAGATATATGCAAGATAAACTGGGGGTAGTTGCAGAGAGAAGGCACTAAAATTAAGGAGGAAGTCTTCTTGGAGAAGATTAAGATTATCTGAGACTTGAAAGAACCCAGAGAAACTAGGAGGTAGCACATTCCAGGAATGGAGAAGAGTCAATGAAAATGTATAGAGACAGCAGATGGAGCATTATGTGTGCGAATCATCAAAAAGACCAGTGTCACTAGATCAAAGAGTAAGATGAGGAGGGCAGTAAGGTATAAAAACAACTGGAAAGGGCACGGTTATGAAGGTCCTAAAAAGCCTTTCATACTATTGCAGCAAATAATTATCACTCTTTATGAGCTGGAGAAGGAAATGGCAAAGCATTCCAGTATCTTTACCAAGAAAAATCCCAAAATGGGGTCATGAAAAGTTGGACCTGGCTGAAAATGACTGAACAATACAACAACATTTACCAATGAAATGACTTCATATCTTTAAACATGGATGGATCATCCATGATCAAGCTAGAGTTTTGTGTGTTGGACATAGTTTTTAGAGTGCTGGATTAAGAATCGGGAAGAGCTAAGTTCAAATCATGCCTCAGACACTTACTAGATATATAAACTTGGGCAATTCACAATTTCTCTGGGTTTCCATTTCCTTATCTGTAAAATGAGGAAGTTGGACTGAATGGCCTCTGAAGACCCTTCCACCTATAAATTATGATCATATGAATTTCAAGTGCTCAGCAACACTAATATTGACAAAGAGTATCAAAAGGATAAAAAGTAAGATAATTCATTGCAGATAAATTGAAATTAACACTTTACTTGAGAAAATAGCAATTAAATACTGATAACAATGAAATCCCAAAAGAATTTTTATATGTTGTCTTCTTATAATATAATTTGCCAACTTTTTTCATATTGTATTAATAACTACTATCAACATCAATGTTCAGGAAGTGTGAGTTTCAAGCCTAGGGTTACTCTTAATAAAATGAATGACAGTTCTTCTTTGTTATTTCCTTTAGAAGCAAAGGTCACATATTCAAGTGGCTTAATATCACTCTGTTCATGGACAAATTACAGCCTGAGAAAATTTTACATTTTCCCAGACAACTGGTTATATGTTTCATCTAGAATTAAATGATTAAAGTAGGAGAAAACAAATTTAAATCGCTAATATCTTCTCTCAGCACCTCTCAAAAGTAACGTAGAAAATTTTATTTTCCCCCAAAGTTCACACTGAATAAATTGAAAAATCCAAGTAAATGAGATTTTCATATGTTTTACTATAGAATTGTATGTTGGATTTGGGTACCTAAGCTCTTTATACATGAGTTTTGATTTGTTTTGTTTTCAATTGGATGGGCAGGTAGTGATTTTCAAATTACATTCAGCCTCCTGCATCCCAGGTTTTCTAAAAATAACTTGAAACTTTCTATTTTAAGAAACCACAACAAAAATACCATTTTCTAAGTTGTATTAAAATTGACACCAAACATTGGATTTTTAAAAATTTCTGTCAACTAAGATGAAAAATAGACTAAAATTTCCTATTGTTCACAAATATAGCATTTTTCTACATGTTGCTGGTAAAGCTCAAAGTTGGCATTAGTTATAAAAGTATATGTGTATATATACATATTTATATATGTATTCATTTATTTATTTTAAATTCTCCCTCATACTATTTTCACAGAAATATTTTTAAAACTAAAAATAATACCTTTGGAACAAATATTCATAGTCAAATAAAACAAATTTTTACATGGGCCACATCTAAAAATGTATGTCGCATTTTGTATTTTAAGATTGTCACCTCTCTGGCAGATGGGAGGGGTCATGTTTCATGTTTAGTCATTTAAACTTATGACTTAATATTGCATTGATCAGGTCATTCAAGGTGTTTTCCTTTATAAAGTTGTTTTCATTGTATAAATTGAAATTATAAAATTTATGAATCATCAATAAAGTATACGACTACATCTAATATGTTTTTATTTCTAGTTTGCATGTGGGGACATTGTGCAGACAAAAAAAATACTATCTACTACAGTGTTCATATGGCTCAAATTAAACAATGCCTCTGCTTTTAAAAGTTTTCAGTATAATTAAGTAACATATAAATTGAATAGGACATTATATAGAACATGGTGAACCACAATTAATAAATAAATAATCAATTAAAAGGCAATAAGGTGCCAAGATTTATTGTGGCTTATTAAATGGATATGTTCTTAAAGTGCAAGCTCTTTGAGGGAAGGTTTTGTTTTGTTTTGGTTTGGTTTGGGTTTTTTTTTTTGTAGCAACAGCACTTTGCACATAATAGGTATTTATGAATTTTTTGTTAAATTACAGTGAATTTAACCCAGCATGATATGAATTAGAGAACTTTACTATCTATTTGTGTATAAACCCTAGATAAGTGATTAAATAGGTAGGTATATACAATAAAAGAGCATTGAAGAACAAATTGAGTAATTATACACAAAATGCTGGGATAAATAGCAGTAAA